GCGTATCCGTGTGACGCAGCTGACACAGAACAGCATACGCTGTTTACGTCCAGCTGATACTCTCCAAAATTGATTTTGGAGACATGAATACATTTCAGTTGCATTGCTGTCTATGGGAGGGTCAGGAAGCTCTCAGATTCCATCAAAAATATCTTAATTTGTGTTCCGAAGCATACTAGATACATTTAAAAGTTCTGTTATAATGCTACTCTGTGCGGTCGTCACCGGTCTATTAAAATGCACAACATATTAAAGCGTCTTTGGTGTTTCCATGTTTTCTACAAAACAAAACCGGAAATCGAGGGGTTATGACGTCATTAGCAGGCGACACAATGACACTATAGACACGCTCTGTGTCACTAGATAAAATTGCTTATTTCTCTGGATTTAAACATTCTTCGAAACATTTGGGATAATGTAAGTACACAAGTCAACAAAATATATAACACTGTTCTAGTGGTTTTTGGATATTTTAATAAAAAAATCTTACATATTGTGTCTTTAAGGGTGAACTGTTTCTGCACCACTAGCGGTGTCAAACGGAATTGGAATTATGATTAATGATGACTACGAGTGGCTGATTTATAGATTTTGCACATTAAACTAGAATGGGAGACGGTATTAAAACATCTAAAATGACACTTCGCCTTTAAGAGCCTCGATAACCGCTTCTAAACAAAAGTGAACGATGGCCATATTTTAGCAGCAGAGGGCGCTGTTTTACAAATAATTACAAGTGGATAAAATCGCACGGTACTTTCTTAACTGTGTGCAGTCGGAGGAAATTATTTTAGTATACTTGATTCCAGGTTTCTCTCTAAAACGAAAGCCAGCTGCTTCGCGCTCAGCTCACAAATGCTGTCTGGTTTGGAGGAACGTTAGTGTTAACGGTCTTCCTGTGGCGTGAATTTCCAGTACATTAGGAAAGCAAATCCTGATTTTGCATCTCGCTTCACCTCAAACGGGATCTGGAATAACAGCCCTTGTTCATTTGTGTTTGAAACTGAAACTACAGAAGCATAACTAGAGTGCACAGGTAACATAAAAAAGACCTTATATGTCTTTATGTATGTGTGTGTGTGTGTACATGTACAGGCCTGGAATCATGTTTAGCAGCTTTTACAATTACTGTCCTAACCAGTCCAAAAAATACCATAGTATTACTATGGTATGTTACTGTAGTACTATGCCAAATAAAACACATTATATCAGTTTAGTGAAAATCTGCCATTCTGATTACTGGTGTTTGAGTTAGTTTTAGTATATTGTTTCAGTATATTGTTAGTTTAAAATGTTTAAGGGTTGAGGTTTAATAGACAGTATAGTGAAAATGTTGAAATATTAGTTGTATTTTGAGGTGTATTTTACCAGTACTTACAAGATACCATCAACAGAGAAAAACCGGGAGATGTAAATGAAGGACAAGAAACCCAGATCCGTTTTGACCTGTTTTAATGAACCCTGATTACAGTTTTAATTACAAGAGCAAAAGAAACCACACGAGAAACTAAAGTATACATGGTTCCTTGTAACGTCAAGTTTTGTCTCTCTTTACAAAGTATTACATAACCGTTGAGAGACAGATGGAAAGCTTTAAGAAAGAAGCGAAAGCAGAAAGACCTTGAACACAAGAAATAATTGTCTTTTTCTTACATCATCCCCTCAAAATGGAAAATATATATTTATATATGTACATAACCAAAAAAAAAAAAAAAGACATTAAAATAAAAATGTGATAGCATAATGTCACCCTCCCTCTTCACCTGGTTTTCTTCATTACAACTAAAAACCAGCAATAATACAAAGCCAGGGCACTTTTATATCATGGTATCAAAGAGGGTAGAGGAATACACTTTATTAAAATGTTCATCTTGACAGGTTAAAATCCAGGTAAGGGGTACAAACAAAATACCAGCAATAATACCAACATTAAAAATGATAACTGGTAATATAAACAAAAAAGGTATAATAAAACAGCACTGTTTATATTGAATACAGAGCAAGAGGAAAACAAAGTATTTTCTAACAAATAAGGCAGCTGTCAGTTAAAATACAGATACTGAACCGGTGTAAGGCCGCCAAACAAACTCCAAAAAAGTAAAAAGAGGGGGGAAAAAATGAGTGTTAAGTGTGTCAGGTCCTATACTTCCTATTTAGATGAGGGCTAAGAGGCTGAATGTCCACTTTCTAGTTGTCAGTTCGGTGAAGTGAGGTCCCTTTCTTCGAGGCCGTCATTGACTACGAAGTCCCTGCATTTTGCTACAAATTGAGCTGGCCGTAGCAAACGCGAAGCCAAATAGGATGTCTTACCTGTTCAATCTTGATCATCATAGATAAAGAACAGCCTCCTACAACTAAAACACTGCAGAGAGACTGAGATGGAGAACGCAAATGCGACGGGTCGAGTTAAAACTATACGTAGACCTTATAAGGCCAAGGACAGCTGTGCCATTCAGGGTTCTCAACGATTGGTCAGTTATGTTTAAGTTTGTCTATAACAACACTTTTCTTTCACAGTAAAGCACTGTAGGGCCCTGAAACCAAACATCCCGCTGACATAGATTTACCATATAGATTTACCTTCTGAAATATAATTTGTATCAAAACCAGCGTTTGTTCTTTTATCAAATATATACGACTATCGTGCAATAAAGAGAGAATATATGGACTCTAAATGCAAATCTTATTTAGGATAGTTTCTTTTAAGGTACAAAACTAAATAAGGCATAAAAGCAGTGTTTGAGGTCATGTTTCTAAGGCCTCTCCTGTATGTGAGTTGGTACGTGTCGATAAAGCAACCCATTGAAAAGCACTGGGCAGTCAGTCTTCCGTAAAAAGGCACAAATGTCTGTTCATTTGAAGGCTTTATATTCAAAGACAACCTGTTGGATAGAGGAAAGGGGTGTGGGGTGGTATGCCTGAGATTTACCGCCAACAAACCATGAAGATTTGCGTCCTTTACAAAACAGCAAGGTGTACAGGATTGTTTAAGTGGTTTTAGGGATGATTAGAAAGCTAAAACCATAAAGCGCCCTCTGATACGTTGCCCCAACGTTCCTGTTACGTTCCCTCAGGGTTAAAACTGCATTTAAAAAAATAAATAAATAAAGTTGAAGGAAATATCGTGTGTGATCTATAATTTGTCATCCAGCTGGTGGTCATGAAGACGGACTAACATATATAAAACGAATCCCCCAATGTATATACATGTGTTAAGATACGTTAAGAGGTTGTTGAGTGGTCCCGTCAGCCGGCTAAGCTTGCTGAACAGCTAGGAAAGTTGGTGTCCGGAGCCGGCAGTAAAGGCTGATAGCACGCTAGCATTAATGGCTCTGAAGGCAGTGACATGAAGGGCCTGGTTTGAGAGTGAAAGGCAAGCTGGTTCTGCAAAAAGTCTGGGACTTGAATCTTGGTATGCAAAAAAAAATGAAAGAGCGTCTGTAATCGCAGAGTCTGAGAACTATGATTGAGTTTGAGGTGGGGCCAGCATCCTTCCTGCATTTTTCACTTCATCCAAGAGTGTCTGTTTAAATAAGACGATGTCCACTTGCCTGTGACTATGTTACTAAATTTCATTGGCATGAATGACATGACAAAAAAAGAAAAAGATCAGCAAACAGCAAACAAAAAGGAATGGGTTCGGTAAGCAAGGGGCTCTGGTTAAACTTGGGAAAGGGGCCTTGGTACTTAAAATGCATAAAAAAGATGTCGGTATTAATAATTTTTAGTGTTGCAATATTTTGAAGTGAGTGAACCTGCATGTACAGAAGTTAAAAAGATGGTTTGGGCATCCGAACATGCTGAATGGATGGTCTTCACGTAACTTCTGAGAGCAACAGTTGCCTTCAGCCCTTAAGGAGGACAGCTCTGTGTTGGTAAGTTGGTGTTTGACCATGTCTTCTTCAGCAAACGTTGTTTTCTAAAGACAGCTGTGCTGTCGCTCGCTGCAGCTCAGAACTCACCCTCCTCTGGCCCGTCCCCAGGTGTGCAGCCAAAGTCTCCGGACTCTTCTGCTCTCCATTTTCCTCCCCCAGTTTAGGCTCCACCTCCTGGGTAAGTTCCTCCCTCTCTGCCCTGCTCTTCTTGTCCTCGGCCTCTTCGGTTCCCGCCTCCATTCGCTGGTCCTCACTCCAGCGGCGTTTAAAACGCAGCTTCAGAGGGATGCAGCGCGTACCCCCGGGGCTAATAGGAGCGCCCTGGCCCAGGTTTAGCTCTCGGGGTTCTGCTTTAAGACCTAAAAGATTTACCCCAACCCCTGAGGTAGGGGCAGCTGGGGTCTTGAAGACATCTTCCTCGAGATCATCATCATCAGTCATGCGATCGTGGTTGGGTGGAGGGGCGAGGCCACCATTAGGGTGAGGAGGGGAAAAGACATCACATTCGTCGTCTTCATGCTCCTCCTCGCTGATGTCAGTGACCTCGACTTCTTCTTCCGACTCCATGTCTGAGATGGGCTCAACCTACAGAAGTAAGAAAAATGAGCATTACAGAAAACCATTTTCATTCTCAAAGGAGCTACAGTGTGGATTTTTTTTAAGGTGAACATACCTTGATCTTTGGTGGACCAGTTAGGGTTGAGTTGTTGGTCATCATTCCAGATGAAGCAGAATTTGAGGCTGCACCAGGCTCCCCGCTGTAAGAGAAGGAAGCAGCAGCGCTTCCAGAATTTGAAGCATGTCCTGCTCCAGCCGGGTTTGGCCCTTCTCTCTGTTTGCGACCCAGTGGTGGTGGCTGTAACTTGAACTTGAACGGAGATAAATGAGGCTCCTCAGCCTGATGGTGCAGAGGGTGACTTGACAGGTGTGGACCTACACCCGCTGGCGCTCCCAGTCCCTTGTCTGGGCGCTGGGGCTGGGGGATGATGATGTTGGGATAGTGAAAGAATGCACGGGGACTCAGATGATAGTTGTAGACACTCTGAGTGTGAGCTTGCAGGTAACGCTTCATGTCTTCTGGATTGAACGAGAAGTGGGAGCCCAGCATGGGAGACAGGGATGGAGAAGGTGTGTAGGGCATGTGAGATGTAGGGGTCATGGAGAGAGCTGGAGAAAGAGCAGGAGCCAGCAAGCCTCCAGGGCCTGGGAGAGGGGACACTGGGAATGGAGACAAGGGTTCAGGGTGGACCCTGTGTGGGGGCGCATGGTGCCCACTCCTGGGGAGCCCAGTTGGGTTGGGCGGTGCACCGTAGACACGGAACAAGGAATCGTGGGACAAGCGCGGATGGAGCAGGTTTCTGAAGGCACGGTCGGCCAGGCGGTCGTCACCGGGAGCTATGCCAGTTTCCTCAAGCTCCGAGTTGGTGGAGGTGCCATCGCTGCAGTCGGAGACAGAGCCACGAGCTATGCGTCGAGGCACAGCACTGAAGACACCAGGACTGCGCAGTTCCTCGCTAGGAGAGAGGACGTCCGATGGCGTGGATGGAGGGAAGCGGAAATGAGTGCTTACACCTGATGGGACAGGCGGTGCACTTTGTGGAACACCAGAACCTATGAAAAAGGTTGAGAAATGTTAATAACTGTTTTACTTTGTACATCAAACTAAATGGGTGGGTTTCAGAAAGATTGAGTTTAAGAAGCAGGGGTCTTCACCTGCAGAGCCCATGTCAATGAACGGATAGTTCACCAGCACCAGCTTGTTGAAGTTGAACTTGTAGGTGAATCTTTTCCCTTTGGTCTTGTGCAAGATCCTTTTGTTGTAGTAGTATCTGCGGAGACAGTGTTGGCATGGTTACACACTTGCCAAAGCCATTATTAGGAGTCACAATTTGTTGAAGGCTGCCCATTTTTATGTATTTGACATTCTTGTACTTGTTAAACTTTGCAAAGGCAATGACCAGTTCAGAGATGCAAGTTACAAGAAGTTAATATGCATATTTAATCAAAAACAGAGTGACTGGTTTTCTAACACATCAAAGTATAATTCTCTTGCAATAAATGATAAGTCAAAAATGAAAATTCTTGGCTGAGACTGAAAACTTGGGACAAACTCCGAGGGCTGTGACGGTGGCAGATTTTTACCACCGTGGTGGTAATGGGCCAACTACCGCAGGTGGTGCGGTGTTGATAGGCTATATATATAATTAATATTAGTTATAAGTAATTTATGTATAAAAATTACACGTGTGTATATGTGTATATATATATATATATATATATATATATATATGTCTATAATTTTGAAACAAATAATAAATGAGGCTCAATCATCTATTAACAAAAATGCGTGTTTATTTTAGCACTTCCGTCAGTGAACACGCAGCCTGCAAAACACTAAAATAAATATCAAAGAAATAATACAGTTAAACAAGAAAGTAGCCTTAATAAGAAAGTTAAATACACCGTCTACCGGACGAGAGCGGCGCGACACGACAAAATACTATAGAACTCATAATCAGTGATGCTACACTGGATGTGACGCGACACAACATGACAAATCGCCGACAGTAAACTGCCTCGTCCTGTTTATGAGGTATTGACACAAAGTTCAAATGTCCTGTGTAGACAGACTCAACCTTTTGCGACGCGGCGGTGTCGCGTCCGGAGTAGACACGGTTCACTGTTCTGCCGCCAAGCAAGCGGGCGCATTAACTCCTCGTCTGGCACACGCTCTCTTTGAAATAGGAATCGTTGCCACATTTCTTGTTAACATCTTTCATTTATCGCTGTCTCGTTTT